CTGATTGAATTGGCCCTGTCAACACTGGTTCTCTGCTTGTAAGGTAACTCCCTTCTCTTCATGGGACAGTATAATAAGGCCTGCATCTGTAATTTTCACTCCATGCATTTGATGAAGTGGATTTTTTACCCACGAAAGCTTATGCCCAAATAAATCTGTTAGTCTTTAAGGTGACACCCGACTCCTCATCGTTTTTGTGGATACAGACTAACACGGCTACCCCCGATACTAGACAGATGATGTGTACTTTAACCTATGGATGGAAAGATACGATAATTCTTGTAAAACTCACCAGTCAAGGCGGCTAATGGATGCTGCCGGGGTCTGCACTAGATCCAAATATATTTGATGCTTTTGTCCCAATCCTACAGGAAGGCAAGACACAATTAAGGGAGCAGTGAGGTAAAAGTTAGGTTACTAGAAACCCGTGGTTTGATCGGACACACGTGCCCAGGCCCACAGGAACATGCCTTGCCGGGGGATTTTGCTGGGGAAAATCCATTTACATTTGGCTGAGTTATAGAGGGTTTAAAAATCCCAGAATTTGCACATGCAGAGTAATATATATATATATTTTTTTACTAACAATGCTACTAATGATCTTCCAGCATTTCATTTGTTCTGCACAGGCACGTGTGACAAAGCTGAGTGGGATTTGCTGTCGCCTCAGTTCTGTTTCTTATCAGTGCAAGCAGTCCTGGGACATTCCCAGTAATCCGTCCTCGCTGCTGGGCAATAGTGTGGTTTAGAGGTGAGCCTTCAGTCTCCAGCACTTCAGAGCTGAGAATTAGCAGGACTATGAGCTCGGCTTCTTGGAGGAGACTTGGCGGCTTGTCTCTCCAGATCAAAGGGACTGGACTCTATGCCTCAGACTTTGACTCTGGTTCCTAGGCAGAGATTCAAGCCATCCCATCAGGAACCCCGGCTGGAGTGCCAGGAGCTCTTGGTTCTGTTGTCAGATACCTCTATTTAAAAGAAAAACAAAACCAATCAGCATTCCCAGCTGCAGTTTTCTGGCCTGCTGGATGAGATGCACTGGAATGTTTTAGATCAGGTGGCCCAAAGAGTAGATCTTTTTATCCCAGGACTGGGGTTTGCACTGTGGAAAAGTTTGAGAACTGATGCATTAAAAAGTCTTATACTGTTCAATGGATTGATTTCCCCCCCGCCCCTCGGTTCACAAAAAGAGATGCAGTTTGCGGTTCTTCTCCTATGTCAGTCTGCCATTATCTATGTTAGGTTCTGCTTCTTGACAAACACACACACGCAACTAGGGTGACCAGATGTCTTGATATTAATCGAGACTATCCCGCTGTTAGGGGGTTTGTCTTATATATGCGACTATTCCCCTCTCCCCCTGCCCCCATCACTGTCTGTTTGGTTTTTTAAATGCCTTATTTTGTATAGTTATAAATAGAATTCTGGTGCTGTTTTGGTTTTATAAACTTGTTTGCACCACTGCAACAGATAATCAGAAGTAGGATTGTTCAGACAATAACTCTATATCTTGATGAATTTTAAACTAACACCAGTGGCTTCAACGAGGGAAAGGAAAGTGTGTGTGTGCAGAACTCCGGACCCTAGCAGGGCTCCTGTGCGCCCAAACACCCCTCTGGCCGTCTTTCCAAACAGACCTTGCCTGTCCCTCACCTGTTCCGGGCTCCATGGGATGGGTATCCGTGACGTATTCCCCATCCCCAGCACTAGTGCGGTGGGGGAATTTGGGTCGGAGGTGAGGGTGTGTGTTGGGGGGGGTCTCCCTTGAACTCCCAGCCCCAGCAATGGGGCCAGTGGTGGTGCCCCGGCAGCCATGGGCAGGGAGTGTCAGTCACTGGCAGGGTCCCATGGGGGTGGGAGGCCCCTAGTAGCAGGGTGCAGGGGATGTGGCCTGTGGAGTGGTTTCTGTGAGCACAGAGCT